GTTGCACAACCAGTTGGGTTTGTGAGACAAGGCAAAGAGAGAAAGGTGTACATGATGCATTAAGCCCTATATGGACTTAAACAAGCTCCAAGAGATTGGAATAAGAAGTTTGATAGTTTCTTAAGAGAGAAGGAATTTGTGAAGTGCACAACTGAGCATGAAGTATATGTAATAATAAGAAATGGTGAATTGTGTATACTATGTCTCAGTGTCGATGAATTGTTGATAACAGGTAGCTGCAAGAAAGAAATCAAAGACTTTAAAAGTTATCTTAGAAAGGAATTTGAAATGTCAGATCTGGGCGACATTTATACTTCTTTAGCATTAGACTCTACAAGAGTAGTAGAGGTTTGATGATGCATCAAATAAGATATGCAAGTGAAATACTCAAGAGATTTGAGATGGAAGAATGCCACTCGACTTCGACACCTATTGAACCAAGACTGCAACTGTCAAAAGACTCAAATGAAGATGATGTCGACCCAACCAAATACATAAGACTTATTGGGTCATTAAGGTACCTTTCACACAAGGCTTGATCTAACATACATTGTAGGTATAATGAGTAGATTCACGCAAAAGCTAAAGGTATCACATCTAGCAGCGACGGAGAGAATACTAAGGTATCTAGAAGAAACTCTCGACTATGACATTCTGTTTCTTACAACTAATGGAGGAAAATAATGTAAATTAGTGGGTTACACCGACTTAAGTTGGTGTAGTGATGTTGAGAATTAAAAATCCACGTCTGGCTATGTGTTTATGCTAGGTGGTGCATTATTTGCTTGGAGTTCGAGAAAAGAACCAGTAGTGGTGATATTTTCGTGTGAAGTAGAGTACATAATTGTTTCTCTTTGTGCACGTCAAGTAACATGGATGGTGAATCAGGTCAAAGAGATTACAGGGAAGGATCATGGAGTAATTACCATGAAGATCAACAACATGCCTGCTATGAATCTGGAAAAGAACCTGATAGCACATGGTAGAAGCAAGCACACCGAAATGAGGTTCCATTACCTTCAAGAGTAGGTAGCAGATAGAAAGATGAACTTGGAACATTGCAGAATTGAGAATCAGATTGTAGATATCATAACAAAAGGTGTGCAAGTCGAAGTGTTTCAGAATACTAAGAGTTATGATAAATATAGATAGCTTAGACACAATGAATAAAGTGATGCGTTAAGCTTGTAATTCTTTGTGTCGAAACAGCATGTTGCTCGACAGAAACAATGGTGTGTCGAATAGCCTAATGTGTGTAGATTTGTTTAGTTGTCGAAGTGTCAAAGCAGGTTATTTCACACAGGATTTCGACTTAGGTCTAAAATAGTTATTTTAGGTTTTATGTATTTTGGATTTTGACTTAAAGAGAAAGCAAGCTCAATTATAAATAGAGGGAGTAACCCCTATTTTTGTACAACGCAAATTCATACACTTGCAGTTGCAAATAAAACTTCAATTTGAAGTGCATAGAGAAACTCTGCAGGAAACTCTTTCTCCTTCCCCTATTTTCGTTATGCCCTAATCTTCTTCTTTCCCAATTATCTTCTTTTTTTCTTCCATTAAAATAGTTGGCATAATCATATTACAACTAAGGTTGGTTGAATCACTCGAGTGAAGAACAAAGAATTTTGATCGATGTGATGAAATCTTATTCATCAAAATTGATTCAGAATTACTCAAAGTTTTGAGTTTAATTCCAACAACAATGATATAGAAGAAACTGAATTGAGAAAAGTATCAAAATGATAATCATGATCCCAATGTGATGAATCTGAAGTGACATAATTGTTTAGTTGCTGACACAAGAGTCAAATACAAACCAATCAAACTTGATATATATTCATTTTATTTTATTTTAAATAAAAAAATCAATTACGTAAATAAATAATCAGTCAATATGAGATAGATACAATACAAGCTATAATTAAAGAATACATAACTTTTCTACAAATCATGTTTTCAAATTGGGTCTTCTAAAATACCTTAGGGTACGTTTGTTTCAAGGTGTACAAATTTATTCTTTAAAATTCCTATCCTAGAAAAATAAATATAGGAAATTTATTTTAAGGTATTCTTTTAAAAAATTATTTGGCAAATTTTTTACTATTTCTATAAATATTGTAATTTTTATTAATTTATTTAAAAAAATATATAAAATTTTATGGGAATCCAGTTTCCCATCCTTTAACAAGGAAATAATTCCATGAAAACAAAGGAAGTTATAAGAAATTATTTTGTTCCTTGAAATCTTTATACCCATGAATAATTTTTTTTCAATCTTATAACAAACATGATGTAATACAGTGAGAGAACTGACTTTTTTGGTTTTATCCAAATGTGCGGATAGCTAGAGTCCCACTGACTTTTCTTTTATCCAATATAAGGAAAGGGTGAAAAGAACAGGAAAGACTTTGATAGATTTTGAGTTCGGGGGGTAAGTAATGAAAAGGGAAGGTGTTATCACCATTTTCATATATAGTTATCTACAAACTCTTAATTGCTAACTCACTTTTAAAAATTTTCTTTGCGTGTGTGATTTGTTTTAAAATATTTGAAAAGCCAAAGTACGGACAACTTTGTAATGATTCTTGTATCAGTCCTCAAGAAAGCGTACAAAGTGTTTTAAAAATATTTCGTTTGAAAGTGTGATGTGTAAAAAATGTTTATTTTAGAAAAGATCGTGAGCAAGCGATTAAACGTTCCTTACCCACTAAAGATCGTTCTTATTCTTTTCATTCTCTAGAGATAGTGTTATCCGTACCATTAGTTGGTAGATAGCCATATCTATTGGATGTGAAGGGACAAGCGTAGGGTCATCGAATGGTCATTGAAGACAACATATATGGATACTTTAGCAATTGTATCGGAGGGACTATCATCACTTACTCGTAGGGACTAGATCATTTTGTAGGAAAATCGAAAGTTTATCGAGGGATTATGATCTTTATTCGAAACAAACTATGATAATTTGATCGAGAGTCTTTTGCTAAAGGTATCCCCACTTTTGAGGGACGTGACCATTATTTTCGAAGGCAACAAAGAGAGGTTATCCTAGAGGTGTGAGTGTGAAAAATGTGTTCAGTTCAGTTATATTTATGTTGAGAATTAGGGGTTTCTATTGACTGATTTTAGTCTTGTCATACAATCCTAATTACTAGCAATTAAATATATACAGAAAATTAAAGTGCGGAAAGTAAAGACCTAAATTATTACAGGGCTTTAGGACAGTTACATAAGTATAAAAAAATGCGAGAAATAAACATATACTATTACCAAAAAAAAACTGTGCGACCTATACAATTGTTTCTAGGAATTTAATGCAAAAGAAAAATAAATTAAAAAAAATGTTAGGAAAAATGTCAAATGTCCTAAAATTCTAAGTGTTAGAAAAATATCTGGGTGTTTTTGTTTAGAAAATAATTTGGGTGTTAATGACAATAAAACCTAAATCTAATTAATGTTAATGTTAAGAAAATTTTAATTAACTTAATTAATAAATAAATAAAAACAATAATGTCAAAAATTAATTATTGATTTAAAACTTAAACCTAATTTTTTAGGGTTTTGAAAAAGGATTAAAATTGGTTAATGGTTGATTAAGAAAATAATTAAGAAAAAAGGAAGAAATTAGGGTTAGTTTAATAAAAAGAAAAGGAAAATAAGTTAGCAAAAAAAATAGAGAAAAAGGGTTTGTATGGAGTGGGTGTTGAATTCACGCTCTCTAGCAGTTGAGCAATTGAGAATTCTAAGAGCATGAGAAAGTATCTTGAATTAATTTGTCTTGAAAAATGGAAGAGCAAATTTTGGGGTACAACACATGGATATCCTCACTTTTTACTTATATATTTTCAGAAATGTAATTTCTAAACTTGAAACCAACACACCTTAGTCTTCAAAAATACTTTTATTTTTAAGTACGATAAATATTATAAAGTAAGATAACATCATAATTAATTGAGGTAAAGGTTTATTCGGATAATATTATTTAAAAACATTTAGACCAACTATTTATAATTATTTTTTATTTTAAATATAAAAAATTAAATATTAAACAAAAAATATTTATAATTATTTTTTATTTTAAATATACTAATGTTATTAGCAATTATTTAGACAAACTATTTTCAATATTATGTTTTTCTTTGTAATATATTAAAATAAAACAAAAATAAATAAATAGATGATATTTTATAAGGTTAAATATGTTTTTCTCCTATTAATATCTTAAATTTGATTTTTGTTCCTTATAAAATTAATGTCACATTTTTTTCCTATAAAATTATTTATGCATAATATTTTAGTCCTCCTACAAAGACTAAAATTATGTGTATAAATAATTTTATAGAGACTAGAACGTGATTTTTTTATAAGAATTAAAAGTCAAATTTAATAATTTTATAGAAACCAAAAACATATTTAAGTTTTAATGTGTGTATTTCCTATTAGTTCTACGTGGCATTTGAGGAAGAGGGATGGGCCCGAGGCCATGCCTGGCCACCCTTGCTCCATCCTTATTGTGCTCATTGCTCATGCGAACGTGATTGTTGAGTCATTATTTAAATAAACTTTTTTATAAAAACAAAAAGAGAAAAAAGATGATGCATTTATAAGTAAATTAATTTTACTCTCAATCAATTACGATTATGTATCAAGTCTAATTAAACTGTAATTTTTAAATTATTTATATAACATGGCTATGTTCTCATTGGATGACCGGGTATACTGTTCGTGCATCTCCATTAAAACTCTAAAAAAATCACAAGTTTTACATTTTAGGAGTATGTGTACAAGACAAAGGTGAAGCATAATCTATTCTCACATTTGTCCTAGCAGAGTAACTTTGTATGATTCTTTGTACAGAAAGAACAATCTTAGAAGAATAGTTGAGCCCTATTATATTTGATCATATCTCTGTTAGCTCTCAAATTAGCCCGGATGATCCTGGAGTACATAACCAAGTTTTCTAGGAAAAATGTCTTGTTTTAGTTTCGAACTTGCTGTTACCGCATTCCCAAGCTCCTGGAGCATTTCAGTTGAGAGAAGAAATAACAAATCAAATTTAACAAACATGTAAAGCAGTAGTTGGCACCAATTAGCATACCTTGCATTCAATACTGTACCAGCTCCACTGATGCAACCCTCGCTCCCACTATGAATTTTCTTCTCTCCAAATATAAAAGGTTTTACCTGCATCATTTTTCAGCCGCATACAATATTTCAACGTCTATGATGTATTAATTTACAAGATGGATATTAAAAGCATTCATAGGGTGCCATTTTTACCTTTTGGGCCAGATGAAAAGTTCCCATATTTTCTTTTGAATCCTGCACCCAAAAACAAATAACTCAATATGACTAAGAGTAATGAAAAATAATCCAAAATTCTCATTAAATTCAAAATTATAGAAGGAAAACCTTGCTGAACATAGTTGGCTTGTCTCCACTTAGTGACAACTGCTAACATTTCATAAAAGAAGAATGAATGAGAATTGTGAAATCAACTATCTATATCAAGTGAATAATTTACTATGAATTCACCTTACTAAAGAGATCCGTTGGTGGGTTATGCTGAAGCCTCTTTTCTGTACGAAAATTAAATTCCTGCATGAATTCAAATAACATGTGATCTCGATAAAATTTTCTATCCTAGGGGTAACAAAGTGATAAACCAACTCACCATAGGCACAGTGGCTTCCTGCTTAATGTTGCGGAAAACACCAATATCTCCTTTACTTGAAAGTATCTGCACAAAATTTTATACAGTAGCTAGTACAGAAAAGAAAGGTATTGTATATCTTACACAAATAACATAAAAATGATGAATTCCGTTATAGATATTATAGTGTCTCGTTCATTACCTTCTTATTAAATGGCCGAGCTTTAAATTCATGCCTACTGTCCAATACACTTTTCTTTGGAGCATCCATCACAGATGGTCTGTGCAGAGATAGCTATTCAAATTAGCACTATTGTTTCACAGACTATCAAGTATGAAGTACTATCATTTACATGGCCTTTGTTACCTTCTCAAATTCCAAATTCTATTTTGTGGAGCAGAAGCAGTAGCATGTTTGTCCAAATTCTGCAAACACAAATATGAGGCATTGGTAATACAAAATAATGCAAGAAAAACACAAATGTTACTATATCAACGAAACTAACCTGATCAGAATCTTTGCATGGAAGTGTAGATAATGAAGTAGAAGATTTGTGATGCACGGCCCTCTCCGATGTTTTGAGGTGAAATTCCTTAGAAGCAAGAGATAATAAATCTGAGCTTCTAGATAAACAATGTTGAATAATCTTTGGTTCAATCACAATCCAATTATTCACATTTACATGCACACAATGTTTTTCATTTTGTCTAGATTTCATGTAGCATAAAAATATAGTAATTAGGACAGTTAAATCTTTATATTTACAGCATATACTTCTCTTTCCTCTCTATTTAAACATGATAAAATGTTAATAAAACAGAATGAACTGTGAAAGTTTTCAAGAGCTTACTTGAAATTCTGGCAACCGGAAAGGGGTCCTTTTGGGAATTGGTAATGAAGGAGCATCAAGAATCTAAATTATGAACATAAATAGTTAGAAGAGATGATGGAAATGATATACCAAAGTTAAGCTAACAAAACCAAATCTAACTGCATAAAATACCAACTTTTCTGTTTAACGGCCGTGCTTTGAACTTGTGTACAGCCCGTGTCGTGAGTTCTGCTTCTGCACCATTTTTGGGTCTGGAAAGCACATACAATATCTTTACTTCATTAGGTGATGAAGAAATTCTGCTTCAACAAACATTTCACCGAACAGTGCATAGACAAACCTAATCCTTTGTGATGTATAAGATGTTTCTAGGCCAGACACTCTAGGAAGAGTAGCATTAAGCTTGGAATGTCCACAGTTTTGATCAGAAGTTACAATCTGCAATAATATACAAATTTAAAGACGGCCATTATGTGAAACTTTTTTTGTCACTCAATATATACGACCCTTTGCCCAAAGGATTTAACCTGATCTTGCTAATCCAATTTATAATGGAGAACTCTACTTAATAAACGATTAATTAGTAAATTTCCTCTCTTAATAGAAGCATTGTACCAGAATTACAATTACAATAAGGATACAATTATACGTCATCTGCTTACAAAATGAAGTAGTGACAAATATATGGCAAATTCTTAATCTAACCACCACTAAAACGCGGGGATGTTTGGAAGAGTGATTCCGGTAGTGTATTTTGATATACAATAGACTATCGGAAGTACGCTTCCAGCAGTGTTTTGACATATTTACGCTTCCGGTGGATTGAGAAACTGTCCAAAAGTATATGGTAATGGGACACAACGTGAGCACCATGCAAATCATATGAAATGTATTTGGAAGGTTTGCACAATCTAATACTAATAAGGAAGTACTAACAAAATGAAAATCATACCTTCTTAGGTGCCTTGTGGACAAAATTAGGTTGCTGCTTCACATCACCAACCTATCATAGGAAGATATGGCAAATATTTCAAATGCTGTCTAAAACGAATAGAAAATCAATAGTATTATTAAAGGCTCAACTAACTTGTCATTTATTCTAATGCTACAAACCAAACATGAGGTCAACTTTAATTCTAATAATCCATACTTTATCAAATCGTTAATAACAAAAATGTATCACTAGGTTCTCATAACTTAAAGCAATTCTAATTCCTGAAAATAGAATGCAATCTTGATCAACATTTTCATAATATGGTATTATGAACAACACAACAGTCAATTACGAGTTGCACAAAAATTCACAGCATCAAATATGCTTGATTATATGATAAATCCCTGTGTCTAGCATATATCTAAGTGGTTCAATTCAAGCAAACAAATATAACATCTGCTTCTTCAATGATTAGATTATCATAGAAAGAAGGGTCTACGAACCTTGCGCAAGAGACCACCCTCTAACTTCTGCCGTTTGGCAGATTGACTCTCTACCACAGTAGAGTTAGCTACATTTATCTTCTTTTTAAGAGCTTGTATCTTCTGAAACCTGAAAATAATGGGAATGGAACATAAATGATGTAAGGAAATGTAGTTCATTTCGCGTCCATGGACGATAAAGAACAAGTTCCTTCAATAAATCACCTTGAACCAACAAATTGAAGGGGCCGATTTTGCTTAGCCAACTGACTAGCAGTAGGTTTCATCAGCGTTGATAGACCCTTCATCACAGTAGATTTAGTTTTAGAGTTGAAACCTTGGCCAATTTTGTTGCTGTTAAATGTCATCCCTAGAAAGTGTGAAAAACACACATCAAGGTCAAAGAAAATGAAATGTTGAAAATTGGCCATAATACCAAATGAAACTAAGATAGATTATATATAGAAATAGTGTAAATGAAAGTTGAAGAAGATAATAATACCAAAATGCTGAAGAAAATTAGGTTTGGGATGATGAACAATGGTTGTATTTTTTGTTACCGGAACCTCCTCTGTCATCAATAGATTTGCCACAACAGCTGAAACGCAAGAAAGCCGTAATTATCAAACAAAATCAATTCGATTGAAAGAGGAAAAGGTTGAAGAGAACGAACGGGAATGATCGTATGTTGTTGCAGTATTGAACCACCGTTCAGCTTGGAGAGACTGAAGCAGAGTTTCTCGTGCAGTGAAATCAAAGAAACAAGGAGCATCAAACTCATAACACAAGTCAATTTCATCTTCACCAAACCCTTCGTTCTCTATTTCCATCGTTACAATTTCTTGTTTCAACGTACCAGCATTGCTTTCCATTTTAGGTTTTTTTTTTTTTTTTGCGTTCAGTTTCATCAACTCTGCATTTTCAGTGCCACGATTTAACCCTTTTCTAACCAAGTATATTAACTAATCTATTCGTAAAATAGTTTTGTAATTAATAGGAGTAGTTTAAATTTCAAAGTCTAATCTAATGTTACCATTGATTTGCTCATTTTGTTTATTTTGTTGCACCGGGACGTGTGAAGGCTAATAGAAGTGTGTAACGACTAGTAACGATGCAAAATTTGAATTGTGTGGATAGTTTGACGGATATGCCCTTGGATATTGGGAAGTCATGCATTGGGTTTTGTTTGTGGGGTTACTGATTACGTTCTGTCTAGGCAGTGTGCGCATCACTGCAATTTCGGCGCTTCCGCGATTTTTTTCTGCTATTCATCAAATTCCAATACTGTCCCTGATGCGTCATCACTTGAGTAAGGCAGGACTGGACATCAATTAGAGGTGGAAAGAGGTTGGATTTAATAAGTATGAATCTCATCACTTAAAAATTACAAAGTTTAAATCTATTATGTGATCTATTATAGAAATATTTTTAAGGCCTTAGTTTGACATTTTCAAATATCTTTTTGGCTCATTAGCATACATATTAGTTATTTTATTTCAACATTTATAAATAAATAATTTAATTATTGTTTTAAATAATAAATTAAAATATCAATTAGACTAAATGTTTACTTGCATTTATTTATTCAAATTTATTTATTAACATAAGTTTCGCGATACTATTTATCCAAAAGAACTTATAAAAATAATTTATGACATTATTCATGATTATTTTTCAGTATATTTTCAAAAATTCTTTAAAATAACTAAGTATTATTTTTGTATTTTATTTCAAAGTACAAATAAAATATAGGATTAAATATGTTTTTGGTTCTTATAAATTACTAAATTTTGTTTTTGGCCCCTATAAAAAAACTCGCATATTTAACTCTTACAAAATTATTGATCTTGCCAGTTGATCAGGACCTGCTAGTGGATCGGCGGATGATCTCTGACTTACTAGAAAGTTGAGGAGAAAAAAAGGGGGATTGTATCTGCAAGACACTCCAACAATCAAGTAAGAATAGGTGCAAAGAGATACAAGCAAAATATTAAGGTTTAAGGTTTGAATAATGAATATTTGGCTCTCACATGTGTGAGAGTTATATAATGCCCCGACGCTTTGCCATTGGTCCCTATTTTTGGACCTAGATACGCAGGTCCACAAGAATAGGTAACGGTCAAGACTCGGTAAAAACAGGAAGGTGTTCCTATAACCAACCGTTAATTCCGAGGAGGAGGCGGATTATGGGCAGAGGGGCGTTCTGGACGTTTCCTGATTGTCTGCTCGACTCGTGTCGGGCTGACAGGGAGATACGTGCTGGCTAAGTCAGGCGTGTGTATCGCGCATCGCTGGTCATGCTTCTTAGGGTGTGGTCGACCAGGACGCTAGGCCATTGTTATTGGGTCGTGCCAAGGGTAGAAGCGGATTGGGTAAATTTTAATCATTGGGCCAGTCGAGAATAGGAGCCCCCTAAATCGTTGCTCCTTGGCACATGAGTGATGACTTACAATCAGCCCGTGAAACGGGGGTGCTCCTTAGTCGATTTTGCACGAGGAGTATAAGTGATGCTCGGCGTATCCGCCTCGCGGGGAGAGGAACAATTGAGCGACTTCGAGGAGTTATCTATTTTGAGGGGAAATTTCGTACGAGGAGTCCGAAAATTGCTCGGTGCGTTCGTCTTTCGGGGAGAGGAACAACCAGTTGGAATTTGGAAAGTTTGTATGTCAAGTTTACATCGAGCCACGTGCTTTCATAGAGGCATGATGATGTCTAGCCTAAGGACTATGGTGTATTGATGATGCCTTTTGTTGTTCCCTAGGCGCGTGCTCGCTCACGTGCCAGCAGACTGTTCTATAAAAATAGGGGAAGGAGCTTCATTTTTACTTTTCGCTTGCTCTTCTTCTGCTCGTTCCCGCTGTTTTCTGCTCGACTTCGTCAGTCTCCGAAGTTTTTTTCTGTTCCGCCGCTTGCTGCCGCCTATTCCGTCATTTTTCTTCTTTGATCCGGTAAGTTTCTCGATTCTCTTTGTCTCTGTGGATTTAACTTTTGTCATAGCTTAGACTTCAAAGTTTTTGTCCTAGAAATGCATGTGGTTAGGGTTTAGGGTAACTTATCATTTAGAAATCCCAGGAAGTGTTGGTTGGTGATAGTGGTTTCGCTAGGTGAGATTGTCGGTGATGCCATGTGTTCTCCCTGGGAAGTTTGGAATTGCGGTGGCGTTTGATGAATGTAGATGTTTTCTATAGAATTTAGGTTGTTTTTGTTATTCTCTTCGCGTTTTCTGGATGAGTCCAAATCGTTTAGTTGTTGTTAAGTGAGGGCTATGGTCGGGGATATGGTCTTCGTTTCTTAGTGCCCTTTCACTTGATTAGCGGTGGAAGGTTGGATTTGACTTTGATGTCGAACTCACTTTTATCCTTTACTTTTCAAATACAATGGCCAATAATGCTGATGATGAGTTTCTGAAGGAGCCTAGTAATTCTGCTCAGAATTCCACCGATAGCACATCTAACGAGATGAGTACCACATGAGCGTATGGGTCAGAGCCGGGCTCGTTGGAGTCAGGATCGCCTGGGCAACAAGCCTCCAAGGGAGACGTAAAGATGGCTCCTACTAGTCGATCTGGTCCAAGTGTTCTCGTGGTCGAAGAGGATCCATTGGCTTGGGTCACACCAGGACCATAGAAGTATGCTTCTCATTTCATCAAGCATCCCAATGATATCTTTACATTGGAAGACTCGGAGATGGAGCGTGAGGGCGCTGAGGGGCAGTGGGCGATATACATCCCCAGGAAGAAAAGTCAGATTTGCTCGAAGTTTAAAGCTCGATGACTTCCCATGTATGATATCTCATTTAGGGAGATGGGATTTCAACTTCCTTTTCTCGGATATTCAGGTTGCGGTTTTTAGTCATCTTCGACTTGCTCTGCCCTAGATGCACCCGAATTCGATCGCCTTCATGCAGGCTTTCGAGATCTTGTGTGACTATCTGGGAATCAGGGCCACTGTTCCTTTATTCTTCTATTATGCGGGGTTTCGCTCGTTAGTTTCTGAGTTCTCCAGTGTGGGGAGACTGGACAATTGACCAAGATGATTACCGGTCATGGGTCGAAACACAGGTCTCGTTTCGAGGACCCGAGCTCGGCAGATAGACATGGCAATATAACCCATACTTGTGGATACCCGCCCGAACCCACCCCGAATTTGATGGGGAAAACCCGCTTTGACTAGGTTTGGGTTCGGGTTTGGGGTCTCCCTTATTTCAAGATATGCGGACGGGGCGGGTAATGAGGAGTGTAGGACCCACCCCGAACCCATCCCCGAACCCGCCCCGTTTATTATTATTATTATTATTATTATTATTATTATTAGTTTTTATATTTTGGATTATTTGGTTTGTTAATTTGAAATATTAATTGTATGGTTGATTGTGATCGGTGGAAATAGAACTGACTGTTTTGGAATGCTGGTTCGCGAAATATCGCGGTAAGCAAGAGTCGCCACCGTCTTTTATTTTCTCCAACAAGGAAAGGACAAAAGCACAACAAAATTCCTTTTCGAGATGTTTCTCGGTTCGGGAGGTAGATTATAGAAAGGGAAGGTGTTAGCACCCTTTCTATCCGTGGTTATCCACGGGCTCTTAGGTACTTGCTCACTATGTTTTCAAAAAAATTGTTTGCTTTTCTTTGTGTTTGTGGGTTTTGAAAAAAGTTTCATTTTGAAAACTTCTAGGTAACTCTTGTATCAGTCCTCAAGAGTGTATGAAGTGTTTGTTTGAAAACTTTTTGAAAGTGTAGGTGCGAAAAGTTTGTTTTGTTTTTTGAAAGAGCAAGTACCCAGGAGAAATCTACCCACTCTAAAGGAATTAAGCTGTGTAAGAGTCCTTTAGACAGTACTATCCCACTATTGAGAAGTAGGTAGCACCGTCGTTGGAGTTATTCGGGTCAATTCGATTATAGGGACATGTGTGGTCACCAAAGCAATAGTAGGACGCCTTAGCGGTAACCCTAATGTCCTAGATCCTTTTTTATCCGAGGCAACCGTTTCGAGGCAACTGGATCTTTAGACAGGAGGGCGACCTCTAAAACACCCTATACTCAATGACCACGTCGAGGCAACCAAGTGAGGCGTACCCTAGGAGTGGCATGTGCATGTGTGTCAGGATTCATGTTATATTATCTTTGCACATGTATCATTGTGAGCTACGTTTTGATTTTATTTTTTCAGGCAAATCTTGTCATGCATAATTAACAGTTAATAATTTGCGGGAAGTAAATTGTGGAAAGTAAATCTACGCTATTACAAGGCGTCGGGTATTTACATCGCCAAAAACACAACCCTTAAAAAATAAATGCGGGAAAATAAAGAAAGCGATAAAAGTCCTAATTATCTATTACATTCTCGGAGCAGATACATAAATATGAATCAAAATTAATAATCAAGAATAAACATGCACGAGAAAAATTGAATCGGGACGTCCTTAGAGTTTTGACCCTTTTTGAGAAAAGAATGGAATTCTGGTCCTTTTTGCAATTAATTCAAATTAAACCTAATTTACTAATTAATTAAATAATTACAAGAAAAAAGTATTTTTGTGTTTTTTATGTTTTAATGAAAATAAAAATAAAAAGATTAACATTGTCAAAAGAGAAACCCTAATTCTATGTTAATTTTATTTATTATGAAAAAGATTAAAGTTAACCTAATTTAAAACAACTAAATTAATTAATTACATTTATTTACAAAATAATAATTAATAGTGAAATTAATAAATAATAATAATAATAAAAATATTTACATTTTTTGGTTTTTTCTGAATTTATTGTGAAAAATATTTAATTTGTGAGTTAATTAACTAATAATAATAATAATTAAGAAAAAGGTAATAAAAAGGAAAAGAAAATAAAAAAGAATAGTAAACCAGGAGGGGG